ATTCAGGACCACGTGACCAACAAAAAAAAAAAAAAAAAAAAAAAAAAGGAAAGAAAAATCAGACAACGAGGTGGGGGCAAACATTTATTCAAATCGAGATAAAAAAAAAATATATAATAAAAAAAATAAAAAATAATAAAAAATAAATACAAAAATAGTGGGGAGGAGGTCTCGTCCAACAACCAACGTTTTCCGTCTCTACATTTACTTAATATTTCGGTTTTTTAATTTAGTAAATGATTAGGTTCTTTGTATAAAGCAATTGCTAATTTTTCCTCTAAACATATTAAACTGATTAATTTTGTTACAGGATATATATATATATATATATATATATATATATATATATATATATATATATGAGAGAGCGGGAGAGAAATATGGAGAGGAAGAGAGGGAGGGTGCGATGAATAAATACCAAAATTACACAAAAATATCTTGAAAAACTAAAGAATTAATTTATTCAATAAAATGGCTTCAACCAAGATCACCAGACGGCTTCGGTATCTCCTACAAATTTTCTGGGCGGTCATCATGATTCAGTTGCCATAATCCTTGTCTTCAGTTCATCTTTAGTGTTACAAAGAGGTTTATTCATCTTTCGCTCAACTGCGCCCCACAAGAGAGGTGCAGTCTGAAGAGTTAGGTGACCAGATGTAAGGGTTGATGTGGACGCAGAAATTGTCTAACAGCTATAACTATATTCTCCTGCTTGTGTGACATGGTGCAGAGTCCTGTTGCCAGACATAGAGTGTTCCAGCACTCTCTTGATCCAAGAATGCATTACTTCTTCAAGACAATTGATGCAGTCCTCCGTCTCGAGCCTGAGGCCTTGGGGGACGATGAATGTTGGCATAAACTCGTCATCACTAGCAAACAATCCAAACAACATGATGCTGACTGGATATATCATCCAACTCTTTCCGAATCTTCTGCACTGGCCTAAGATTGATACCCAAATACACTGAAATGTTTGCATTAGAGCTTCCGTCACGAATGCCAAACAGAACAGCATGCCGTTACCAGATGTCTGTTAGAGTGAAATGCGTCATGTTGCACTTTTTCTCGCAGACGGTGCACAACTGACCCTACTAAATTGTGCAGCTGACAAAATAAATAGTTTAAAAGATAAAAGGCGACAATTTACCCATCGCACCATATATATATATATATATATATATATATATATATATATATATATACTCATTATATATATATATATATCAATTATATATATCAATATATCAATTGTGGTTGAATAAGACTGACGTAGTTTTCGTCGGTTGAAATAGATCTATCCCCCCCATATGAGGCAATTTTGGATTTTGTTGTGTAATAATATTTATTGCCTCTGTTATAATAAATACATTGAGCTCTTCTTGTGGATCCAGTTTTAATATTTTTTGTATTACTAGGATCACTAAATTATATACCAACAGATTTATTATATTCAATATATATATATATATATATATATATATATATATATATATATATTTATAGATATATATATATATATGCTATAATATTGTCAATCGACTATTTGGAAATATTGAACTTTCCACTCAATCATTTTATGCCGATCCTTTCACTGAGACAAAGTTTCGTTTCCATTGAGATCTTTGCTGTGTTTTCCCGTTCGAATTTCCACTTAAATTCATCTCAACTCTCCTTGTCTTTCTTTTCGTATCGGATTAAATTCTCTGGGAATAGAAAAAAGATGAAAGACTCACGCCCTGTTCACTCCAAAAGACACTTCTCTACGCAGTTGTATATAATAGCGTAACGCATTATATTTACTATTTATAGACGGGATTGGATGTCGGTCTGAACCAGTCGATTACAGGACGGTGTTTTTTTCAGAGTATGACTCATATTCTGGTTCTATAACACACGCCACTGCTTGCACAGAAACAGAACACTCCGCGACTTATGCAGGAAACAATTATAGCCTCTTATTGCATTCATTACAGTAATGATCCTTATGCCCCAATACACTATATATATATATATATATATATATATATATATATATATATATATATATATAGTATTACAGCAAAATCTAAAATTACCTCATATTTCTGGCAATTTTGGATTTTGTTGTATAACATTATTATTGTCTCTGTTATAATAAATACATTGAGCTCTTTTTGTGGATCAGTTTCAATATTTCGTACTATAAGGATCCACTTGGATTATATACCAACAGATCCAGTGCCTTCAACACTGGGTATATATATATATATATATATATATATATATATATATATATAGTCAATATCTCTTTATTATTTATATATATTCAATATATATATATATATCGATATAAAATATATACACAATATGTATAACTATACTCAATATATATAACTATATTCAATATATATATATATATATATATATATATACACACAATATATATATATATATATATATAATGACTTAAAAACTATTGACTGCTGACAAAAAAATTCTGCTTGTCTTTGTATCTTAGCCATAGGCGTTCTACATTCCTGTAGCCCTGATCTAACTGGCTGTTAATTAGGAATGAATATATATATTTATATAAACTATATAAATATATATACATACATACATACACATACATATACATATAAAAGTTTCCAAGAGGATAGAATCCAGGTAGAACTCAATGTCCAGGACAGAGTAAGAATATAATAAAAAGGCTTAAACACTAATATTCCATGGTTATAATTTATTACATTGGAATCGTAATTACAATCCAATTCATCAGATCTACAAATACAAAAAGAAATCAGAAAAAATAACTCCGGGAATAAATAATAAAATTTAGTGAGAGTGTATGTATGATAGTGGGGGACGAATGTGAGTGTTAAATGAAAACTCTAGAGAGGGGGTAACAGACGAGATAAGAACAGGAAGGCCTAAAAGTGAAAGTGGGGATTAAAATTTAACAGAGCGAAGTTTTAAAGAGAGGGTTTAAAAAACTGTTTAAATGAGTGAGATACAGATAAATATGAATTATTTTCCGATGCATTATTCATTACTGAATCGCTGACCTAAATTAAATTAAAAACCGATACCGGAAATGGGTTTATACATTTTTTGTGACATTACGCACAATAAAAGACGATATAAACTAAACTTAGAAATCAGAAGATGAGAGAGAGAGAGAGAGAAAGGAAAAAAAAAAAAGGGGGAAGATGGGGTGGGCCAACTCAAACCGAATGGCATTTATAAAGGAGCCGCTGTGCCATCAAGCCGATCTATTTCAATCAATCTGCACAATTCAAGTCTTTATCTCTCAGCCTTTTCATTTTATATCCAAGTTGTTTCTCCCGCTTCCCTAGAATTTTATTTATTTATTAAACCTACCGTCTGCTTACCCGTCAACTTTTATCTGTAATTCTGATAATGCATCGTTGTATACACTAACTGAACACAATGCAACATTGATAATCAATTCAATGAAAACATGATGCTAAGCAGTAGGCAAACATAATCTACGCCGTCCTGCATATAACGATAAACTGCATCCGCGTCCTGGGTAAGACGATAAACTACATCCGCGTCCTGGGTAAGACGATAAACTATATCCGCGTCCTGGGTATGACGATAAACTATATCTGCGTCCTGGGTAAGACGTTAAACTACATCCGCGTCCTGGGTAAGACGATAAACTACATCCGCGTCCTGGGTATGACGATAAACTACATCCGCGTCCTGGGTATGACGATAAACTATATCTGCGTCCTGGGTAAGACGATAAACTACATCCGCGTCCTGGGTAAGACGATAAACTACATCCGCGTCCTGGGTAAGACGATAAACTATATCCGCGTCCTGGGTATGACGATAAACTATATCTGCGTCCTGGGTAAGACGTTAAACTACATCCGCGTCCTGGGTAAGACGATAAACTACATCCGCGTCCTGTGTATGACGATAAACTACATTCGACAGAAAGGCCTCTGATCAGGTTTTTTGAGAAGCGTATAACCCACCAATTGATGGTGTTTCCAGGTCCACTCTGGTAGCACCTATTAGGGTCCTAACTATGGGCAAATAGCCCCCAAACTGAGGTCAAAATGTGGAAAAATAGGTTTTAATACCAGCAAAAACATTTTTGTAAAAAAGTATTACCAGCAAAACATTTTTGAAAAAAAATATTACTGCTGTGGCATACCTACGGACAATAATTGGTATATCTCCATTCACAGTAAATACTGTAGTATGCTGGTCTCCAGCTATGCTGGTTAAACTCTCTGTCTCCGGACAGAGAGGATCCCCAGTCTCGGGAAACAACTACCCGACCCCGTTTTATACGGGGATTTTTTTGGCCGAGCTTAAGGTCTCGAATACCCCACATTAAATTCGACCTTGTGCCACATACAACCGCGTGGGTCGGTTATTAGATATCCCAGAATATTTGAGATTCATTGTGGAATTCACTCGACTCACTTCTAGCAGTTGACTACTTCTTCTCCGGGCCGCTGGCGAATCTTATATGTGTTGTTCTTGTCCTAAGTATTATCGTTCATTACCAACCTTCGTTTGATAATTTTATTCAGTAACGTTCCCGAGGTTACAACAATTACAAAAAATAGTTTTCGAAAAAGAATATTACCAGCAATAAAAATTTTGCCGGCATCAAATAACCCATTAAGGTAGATTTGCCGGAAAACAAACCAAATCAAACATAATCTACGCAAAGAATAAAGCTATTATCGATTTATATATGATTGATAAGCTGTAAAAAAATGATGAATCAGCCAATCATTTGCAGGTTTCTAAAGCCAGAAAATAGCTTTAGGTTGTAAGATGTTTTGGGAGATAATAATGATTTACTGATGCAAGTCCTACTATTTAACCCATAGCTGGGGGAGACGATGTGGATTAATACCTTCTGCAAGGGTATTTGCACGTGATTATAACCATTCCGACTGAAACTGGAACTAGGATCTTCGATTTCTAATTCCCAGCCGTTATCCATTTCACCACCCGTACACCCAAACTTACAGCACATGGTATTCCCAAACGGTCACCCATCTAGGTACGGACCAAGGTCAACGTTGCTTAACTTCGATGATCATACGAGAACTACTGTATCAACGTGATATGGCCATATCTGTTTGTATTTATCAATTTGCCCGAACTTAGTTGTCAATTTTTTTTTGTTTGCTTAACCCATTGAACCCTGACCCCCGCTTTACCGGTGGTACAGAAAACTGAAGTAATGCCCAGCCACCGGTTGAACAGTGGTAGAGAAAATGACTTAATACCCAGCCACCGGTAGAACGGTGGGTAAACACTTGTAACTATTTTTATATCTACGGTGAAACATTACATAATAATTATTTGCGAATTTTGACTCAGGAGCTCAGGCAGAAAGGTTAAAATTGTTCAGAGACACAGGGCTCTAAGGGTTAATATTCATTTTGATTTTTGATATCTATCTATCTTAGAACTTGGAGAGGGCTATCCTTCTTCGAATCTTGTGAACTGGCGCTACATAATCACAAAGAACTATACCAAAGAACAGAAGTAACATCACATGGAGACTTCCAACAGCAGCAAGAAATCAAATGGATAGAATAGGTAACTCGAAGAGAAAATAATGACATTAAGAAGATGGTAACATTCCACACAACTTCAGATAAAAGGTTAGAAAAGAAACCCCACTGAAAAGAGCGATAGTAATTAATGGATGCCAGACCTGCTAAGAAATATCTAAACTGTCAGTTGTATACAATCGTATTTTCAGATCAATGGCTAACAATGACTTAGAGCGAGTGAAGCCAGTGGATTTTGGCAAAGACCACAATTCTTCGAACCTTATGTACTATCGCTACGGAATCAGAAACAAAGAAATATATCACGTCACTTGAGGACTTTCACCAGCAGTAACAATTAAAATGCATAGCACATGTAATTTGAAAAGAAAATAATGATATAATTATTTACTGGTGGTTAACACTACTTTGAACAAAGGGTTAGTTGAAAGGCCTGATCAATAATAGAAAGAGCTATAACAGCTACTGGCCTTGAGAAACATATTTCTCTAAAAATTGCTTTAATACAAATATTTTATAAATCTTAAACAACGGTAGCAATGGCTGTTCGGTAAATAAATACTGAATGTTTTTATATAAGAAAACAGTAATATTACAGTTCTCACTCTCTCTCTCTCTCTCTCTCTCTCTCTCTCTCTCTCTCTATATATATATATATATATATATTCACACCTTTCCCAAGGGTATTAGCACGTAAGTGAATGTAATGGATTCAACCCGGATTCGAACTCGGCTCTGCGATTCCTCAATCCGAGCCGATAACCTCCCTTCAGCTATGGGTAAAATAGCAGGACAGACTGGGTTCTATAGCCTTGGATGCCAACTAGTCTAGGAGAAGGACAACTCTGAATTCAAAACCTGAGGAGGTTTGTTTGGGAACCTTGTGGCACGTAGTGCACCAGGTCTCTGTATTCGGCCCTTCAAAAAGTGTGGATGGTCCTGCACGAAACCTTCACCACTATAATCGAATCTCATTTGCCGGTGTCGGGCTGTCAGTTTCCTGGAAACTGATCTGCTTGACCCTCATACGTCGAACCCGACGGGAGAAACGATTTTATATATGTATATATATACGTCTGTTCAGATCTATCTATATATACATACATATATATATCAGATCTATATATATATCAGTTTGTTCAGATCTCTCTATGTAAATATCATTTTGTTCAGATCTCTCTCTCTCTCTCTCTCTCTCTCTCTATATATATATATATATATATATATATATATATATATATATATGTTCATCTCTCTCTCTCTATATATATATATATCAGTCTGTTCAGATCTATCTATCCGTCTGTTCATATCTCTCTCACTCTCTCTCTCTCTCTCTCTCTATATATATATATATATATATATATATCAGCCTGTTCAGATGTACCTATTTACATATCAATCTGTTCATATCTAATATTCATGTCCGACAATCATGCAAACCTTTCCACTCTGCCAAATGCACCTGTTTGTACAGCGCATTGTGTTTCACGTCAAGCACTGCCATTAATAAAAATACAGACTAACTACGTTCGTTTTGTTCTATTGTGCATATGTTTGCAAAAGTATTAAATAAAAAACAACAATGGCTGGCCGAAGAAAGAAATGGAGACAAGATAAGTTAAAATAAAATTCTCTGTATTACTAATGTTTACACTGGATCTAAATGGAACGTTTCTTTTAGTTGAATTCGGTGACACTTTTGGGCGAAAGAGTTTGATCTCAAAAATGGTGGAATAGGGGGCTGGGTGGGTACTAGTCTCAAGTTGAAGCTTGCATCAGGTCGATTGGCCGAGAGGCCGCCGTGAACTGATGTCGAAAGCCATGGTGGATACGTAACTTTACCGGCAACAATCGTGATTGGCTAGCACACTGAGCTACAAATATACAAGACATAACATTTTGGTAGCTGATATCACTTATGATCTCGCTTTTACGTGGCCTTAATTTTTGAGAATGAGATTTTCCCATATTGTATCCCTTTTCCGCACAAATACAACGTCCCAAACAAATCATTACTCTCTCACCGTTTCCATAGTTTCATCACTTCAAACATATTGAACACATTGATAGGATTGCTGCTAAGAAAGTTAATTCACTAACAGTGCATTTAAATTTTTGAATATCAGACTTAACTTGAATGCATGGAACTAGGGGAGAGTTCCACAAGCGAGAATGGCGAGATAAGAAATTGTTAGCATAGTGTAGACTCTTCCACAACACAACCAGCCTTACCTCTTTGTAGGAAATGCACTCTTCCTATCTAGTAAGCCAAATTTTACCTTCAGACAATATAACAAGTATTCATTGGTCAATCACCTCCAATCTGGCTTGCTGATTGGTCAGTTCCGACCAATCAAACCGCCTGCACGCGACTAAGCTGTTTTCCCGCTCATACGCTGCGAGCCACCCGGTGATTATATAAAGAGAAAACGTGTGAACCTTCAGAGAAGAGGAGCAGTAATTACCAAGTTTCAAGATGTAACATTCACCGACTCCCGTCTTAGTTATTGCTGACTAGACGTTAAAGACAATTACTAACTTCATGCAGTCAGACCTCTTCACCTAGAGAGAAGCCCATCAACTCCACGCCAGTCAGTCTCACAAATTCGCAGAGAACTTTCCAATACACCACACACCATACTCCAGTCAAAACTCAGACTTTACCGCGTTAAAATATTCACTGACTCGGTAACCTTCGAGCACACTCTATCTCTCTCGAGAACATTTTCTCGAACTTCACTTACTATACTTTTCAAAGTGATATTTCTCACTACATAACAAGTGTCAGTAACTAACAATCCATTTCTCTCGAGCAGATAAAGGTACGCAACTTTGAACAACTTTGAATATTTGTATAAATTGTATATAAATTGATGTTATTGTTATGCATTCAACTTTTGTCTTGTTTTCAACTTTATTTGCATGATTTGTTCCAAGTATTTGTTCTAAATAATTGTTGTGGACGAATGTTGTAGAACACGGCCTCGAAATTCCTTCTGATCAATTTAAGCACAATCACCAGTCCGCAACAATATAACTTACGGTTATATCTAGGCATTTCAACTGAAAAATTAGGAGACCTTTCTGCCAATCTAGTTTAATGTCGATGACCTTGCGATTAAAGAGATTTTTAAATGAATTCGGCTAGATAAAAAAAAAAACTACAATTTCCAGTACTCTGTCGTGGGCATCTGTAGTCCTACCAACGTAACAAATTTAGTCCGATGAAGTCCTGAAGGACGAAACGCGTCACAAATAAACATATTTCATTTCGTCATGCAATTTCTCCAATACTGTTCTTGATTATTCATATATATATATATATATATATATATGGCACGGGAGAGAAGAGTTTCAGCTATGACCTTGCAAAGAGTAGTGAAAAACGACTTGAAAATGAAATCGTACGTTAAACCTGTATATATATATATGTATATATATGTATATATATAGGACAGAAATGTTATATATATGTATATATATATATATGTATGTAGATCATCTTGAATATATTGGAATATATGACCCTGGAATATATATATATATATATATATATATATGTATGTATATATATATATATATATGTATATATATATATATATGTTATATATGTATGTATATATATATATGTATATATATATATATATATATATATATATATATATGTATATATATATATATATATATATATATATATGTATATATATATATATATATATATATATATATATATATATATATATATATATGTATATATATATATATGTATATATATATATGTATATATATATATATATATATATATATATATATATGTATGTATGTATATATATATATGTATGTATATGTATGTATATATATATGTATATATATATATATGTATATATGTATATATATATATATATATATATATATATATATATATTATATATGTATATATTATATATATATATGTATATATATATATATGTATATATATATATATGTATATATATATATATATATGTATATATGTTTTATGTATATATATATAAATGTATATATATATATCATATTATATATATATGTTATATATATAGCTATATATATATAAATATATATAAACATATATATTTTTATATATAAAATATCTTATATATATATATATATATATCAATGTACATAACTTGTGACACACTCCTGCATTATGTGTGGTAATTCTGGACAAGAAGTTAAGTTATGTATATATATATGTATATATATATATGTATATATATGCATAATAAAGATATATATATATATATATGTATATATACCATGTATATATATGTATATATATGTATATATATGATATATATATGTATATATTTTCCTATATATGGGCAACATATATATATATATGTAAATAGGAATGTAAATATATATATGTATATATGTATATATATACATATATGGTATAAGGATATATATATATATATATGAATATAAATGAAAGTATAGTATGTATATATATATCTATATTATATGTATATGTATATATATACCATTTATATATATATGTATATATATAT